ATATCAAAGCAGAAAAGTAGAATAACCAAGATTTGAAGCCAATAATTGTTTTTCTAAAAGCAAGTGTTTTGCGCCCTGCTTGGGAGAAGGTGTCTAGCTTAAGCCCTGTGCCCTATTGGGCACAATGGGACCAGTTGAAGTTTGAAGATGGTGTTCTTCTCCGGAGATGGGAAACTGCAGATGGGAAAGTGACGACCAGGCAAACGGTTATACCGAGAAAGTTACGAGAAGTTGTGCTGCGTCAATCCCATGATATTTTAACAGGAGGACATCTCGTTGTTAAGAAAACATTGAGCCACCTACGACAGAGATTTTACTGGCTAGGTATGAGGCAAGATGTGGAAGAATGGTGCAGGACATGCAGTACATGTTGTATTAAAGGGGACCCAAGCATAAGGGACGTGCTCCAATGAAGTTATATCAAGTTGGGGCACCAATGGAAAGAGTAGCCATTGACATTGCTGGTCCTTTGCCTCAAACTCGTACTGGAAACAAGTAAATTTGTGTGGTGATGGATTATTTCACCAAGTGGCCTGAGGCATATGCAAAGCTATTCAGGAAGCTACAACTGTAGCTTCAGCTATTAGTGATTTCTTCATCAGATTTGGTATGCCATATGAACTGCATTCAGATCAAGGCCGTAACTTTGAATCAGCTGTGTTCCGTGAATGCTGCAAGTTGTTTGGCACCGAAAGACCAGGACAACGCCACTTCACCCACAGTCTGATGGGATGGTAGAAAAGTACAACTGGACACTGGGACAGGAATTGGCAAAGTTTTGTAATAGCCGCCAAGATAACTGGGATGTCTTACTCCCTCCACTGTTGATGGCATATAGGACAGCAGAGCATGAAACCACTGGATACACTCCAGCAAAGTTGATGTTTGGTCGGGAACTTCGGTTGCCAGTGGATCTGTTAACAGGATGCCAACCTTATGAAGAGTTGCCTGAAAATGTGTCAGAGTTTATGAAAGTGTTATCGGAAAGGATGGATGATATCCACCATCAAGTGTGTTCAAACTTGTGAAGCTATGTTATGATAAGAGATCTACTGAAGTCAGCTTTGTACCAGGAGACAAGGTGTGGTTGTATAATACTCTACTCGGTTTTGAGAAGGGAAACAGTGAAGCCCTTCATGAAGTTACTACCAC